TAGTTAATATCATATATGGGATACGTATGGCAACCCCTACTCTTGAATGCTGGCCGACCATGACCGCTTCAAACGTGATTGATAATGATAGATTGGATATATTTTTACCATATCTGTACTTTCTGTTTAGGCATCTCCCTCTTCTAAACTTATAAGGCAGGACAATCGTAAGTGTTCTGGTGCAAATCTTTCTGTGTGTCAGCCGATCCCAGCACTGGTCATGGGCTTTGCAACACCTGGAAAAAAAGCTATCGTAAGGGAAAGTACATTTATTATGGCGAGAGGGTAACGGGGACATGAAGATGTTGAGGAAGGCCTCCAAATAAATGGAGCAGCATTAGGGGGGCCTTGAAATGAAATGATTCAAACGAAGGGGGGACCCTATAATATTCTGAAAAATAACTAACCCTAAGGATGAATTGGATGAAAATATTGAAGACGACACGAAACTTAAGTAAACTTGTTTATATGGATCTAGTAACTCCTGAAGCAACTCGAGAAGGGAATCGTGTATTTTCGTTGATTCATAATTCGTTAAGAAACATTTGTCCCTTGTTAAAGATTGTAAATTGTTATCATTATTTTAAATACTGGTATATATACCTGTCAATGGCATCAAGAGGTCGTCCTTTTCCACCAAAGCCACAATAACAACCATAGGTACTATAATCAGAAAAGAGTCTGCGAGTCACTTTCCAAATCATCAMTGCAAAGTCAATGGATCCTCTTTTTTGAAGCATCTCTGAAATTTAACAGTTGATATGACATGATTGAACAGAACTGTAAAATTAAACCTTCCTGTAAGCGCTGTATTTCATTTGGTGGGTATCAGAAAGCGTGGAATAAAAATCCTTGTTGCAATTCTATGGACTAATGACTATGAAAAGTCTAAGTATTTTCCATTTTGACTGATAATTTTCCGTATTGAAATAAAGTTTGTAAAGTTGATTTCCTGAATGATTTAAGTCTAAAAGAGCTTTTACAGCGAACGAAGAGATACTTCAGGAAGACTCTACTTCGACTCTTTGAAGAAAGTAGACTGTGTCACGTCTTTTTCATTATTTAGTTTTCTTGTGTGTTCGCGAAACCCATTAACCAAAAATCACAGTTATAACTTGAAAAACGTACAATGACAGTTATAATAAACTGCTTGCGAACTCGCAAAGACTCGGAAAACTTACTAGATCTGTCATGAGCAGGTTTGTCGTCGTCTTCAAAGACTTCACAATCCACAAATTCACTTGTTAGTAGCGCAATCAAAATCGAAGCACTTAGCACTTTCAAASAGATATCCATGTTGAATTCACTGCCACTCGTTTGACACCGACGAGGCTGTGGGACTGCAGACCCAAATACTTCTGAGATGACAATACRAATCAACTTGAACTGTAAACAGTTTTGGAAAATATGCTTCAGCGCAATAATGATCGMCAGCTTTTAATACCGAGCTGTATTTGGCCATAGTTATTAACTATGATTTGGCAAAGGAGCTTTTTATAGGTCGCCAATCCACTCAATAATTTGAAAACCAATTGAAAACCACTCAATAATTGTCAGTAAAATTGAAGGCAATTTCAGGCCAAAATCAAGAGATCGAAAAATTTATTCAGTTTTTTTTTCCGGGTTATTGTAAAAAAATGTTATGAGTTTAATTGAAATCTTGTTAACGTTGGCCTACAATGTGCTGTACCCATGGTACGCATTACGTTCCAAACTGAGTACAGCAAGCACTATGCAACATAAAAATCAAATCATCCAAAAGCAAACACTTCGTGCGCCATGCTTCGAGAGCCTCGTCCACTCGGCGGCCTGCTCTACAGGTTCAATATCAAAGAATTCTACGTCATTCGTGCGGGATTCCTATGTATTTTAGTTTCTGGGCTTCCTTGCAAATCCATTCCATATATGGAAACAAACAAAATGGCCGATTGTTGAGAAGTGTTTTCGCTATAATATTCCCAAGTTTCAGACGATTTGAAGCTTTAAAAGTCCAGAAAGTAGCCAAAAGTCAGTCGACACGTACTTGCAAATAACGGGTAGGATTACCAGATATGCCTGCTAACGAAGGAAAATTATCTGAGGCATGATTGGAATGATTCTTTGATCATTCGTGCCCAATTCTAGAC